CTTGAGAGATGGAGGAAGGAGGATCAGAAATTCAAGGCCAGCTGGCATACTCCATGAGCAAAAGCAGGTGCTGAGTGAAAGTCAAGGACAACAGTTTTTTTGGTTTGGTTTGGTTTGGTTTGGTTTGGTTTGGTTTGGTTTGGTTTGGTTTTGGTGGGGGTTTTTGGGCGGAGGGGTTTGTTTGTATGGTAAGTTGGTTTTGTTTTCTCATTCAACCTAAACTTTAATGTAAAAACTCATTATTTGATTCTCATTGGAAGGCTCAAGTGTCTATGCTGCCTCTGAGTGTCAACCTACTTTGCTTTCTGTACATAGCTCTGGCGAACCCCATGTCTGCACAAAGCCCACGTGCCAAGGGCCAGGGCTACTTACTGACCAGTGGAACAGTGCTGTCCAGCACACCTGATGTCCGATATCCCCCACCACCAATACCACCTTCAATCCCAACCACTGCACCTCAGAACTGGGAGATGGAGTAAGCCAGAATGCAAATGATCACACTATTAATTTTTACATTAATACATGTGAACTGATACTACTTTAAATGCACCACATTAAATAAAACACGTCATTAAAATGAATTCCACCTGGTGTTTAACATGTTAGATTTGCACAGACAAATCACGATTGCATATATTTACAGGCTAGAAGGAGATGTTATGATTTTTCAGTGCAATGTGGGATGGCTTAATAAAGCCCATTAACCCACCCATTTGCCACCCACATCACTTGACTGTGTGTGTGTGTGTGTGTGTGTGTGTGTGTGTGTGTGTGTGTGTGTGATGGGAGCATTTTGAAGGTTTCTCTCTTCGCATTATTGAAATATGCAGTTTGTGGATGAGCACCTGTGGTTTGAACACAGTTTTCCACAAGGCAGATTGAAATCTGACGGCTAATGAAGAAGAGTTCTCAAGGGGTCCTTTAAGAGAGATTTGGTCTTTCTTGGGAAATGTGTCCATTTCCTTGAGAGCACGATGCAGCCATGTCTGCCCTTCTTTGCCCATTTTCTCTTTCGCAGGTACTGCCCACTTCTATCTTTATTCCACCAAGGGCAAACAAATCAAACCACGTCGTCTGGGACTTCTGTCCCTAAAATCATGAGTTAATAAACCTCTTTTCAAAAATAAATTACCCAGTCTCAGGCATTGTGTGACAACAACAGAAAATAAGCTTAGGCATTAGCTCTACTCACCATGCCATGCACCAGACCCTCTGCCAATAACATCTCTCTCCTCTCTGAGGGCCTGTAACCTATACCATTACCCCTTCCCTTCCCTCTATTTTCCTGTGCTCAAATATGGCTCCTGGGAACTTTTAACTTACATATTGTTTTTCTTGTTCTAGATGTTGAATGTCACTAGAGAGATTACTGGAGAAGGAATATGCTAACCCAGATGTTTCCTCAGCTCCTGGTGTCTAGGGTCATTCAAGGATTCTCCGGGGTGTTTTCCAGTCCTCTCTTTCTTAATTGCTGTGATCTATTAATAACCCTGATGAGTACCAAGTGCCCTTCATCCTTATGCCACATACCTCACTTCTCCTTGCTCAAGCCTACTCCACCCTCCTCCCCTCCCCAACCTGGCCCCTAAATTTCCACATCCTCTTCTTAGTCCCCCTCCTCTTTTCTGTTTACTCTGTCTTGCATTATGTGCTTACTTATTTCCATGTGTGTGAATGTTTTCCCGGCATGCATGCCTGTACCAGGTGCGTGCCTGTGTCTTCGGAGGCCCAAGAGGGTGCCGTATCCCCTTGACTGGAATTACAGATGGTTGTGAGTCATGATATGGGTGCTGGAAATAGAGACTGGATCCCCTGGAAGAGCAGCCATAGGTCTTACCCACCGAGTCATCTTTTCAGTGCTGTCTGTCCTGGATTTTGCTGGCAGCTTCTCTGACCCTTTATGACCATCCCTGCTCCTTGAAACTGCCTCACTGGAGGTCAAGCCCAAGCCTTGCTCCTAGCATTATTGACTGTCCATCACTTCCATGTTCTCGTACAAGGAATTTTACCTCTATTTCCACAACCTGGTCTTTGTACCATTAACCCTTCCCCCAGTGACCCTATCTCTAAAAAGCCAGAAAAATGAAGAAGCCTTGCCATCTTTGGCTTTTAGTCTCCCGAACCATGAGTTAAATAAGCCTCTTTTTTTAAAAATAATAAACTAAGCTATGACATTAGCTATATGTGCCATATTGTGCAACAGATAGAGACCCGCATGCAGGAGGTCCACTAGAAGTCACTTCTGGCACAACACCTTAACACAGAAGCAATCGGGGTTAGGCAGAGAAGAGACTTGAACTGGGGGTTCCTTTGGAAAGGCATGGAACTGAAACAAGAGACTCACTTTTGTATGCCCATATTAGTCGGTTGGGTCTGGGATCCATACGTTTCCCCATGCTTGGTCTAGTATATCTATCAGCTTTCCATCACTGTGGCAAAGCATCTGCTATAAACAACTCTGTGGGAGACTAAGATTTCCTTTGGCTCGTCAACGCTCTCAGTTCACAGTTGCTCGGCCACATTGCTGTGGTACACCAGAGCGGACCATGTGGATAGAGCAGGGCTGCTCACTTCACAAAAGCCAGGAAGCAAAGAGAGAGAGGGGAAGAGGCCAAAGTCCCAGTATCCCCTGGAAGGGCACTGTCCCAGTGCCCTAAAGACCTTCCACTTGGCCCATCTCTTAAAGATTCCAAGTCTCCCAACAGCATGACGGTTAGGGACCAAGCCTTCAACACTCAAGCCACTGGGGCAGATGGCAAATGACCATCTGGCTTAGACAAGCCACCCCTAAGTATTTCAAAGTCTCCAAAAGTGTCCTAATTTCAAAGTCAAACCTTATATCCTGTATTCTTAAGCACCCTCGTCATTGCTCTCCCCGTATAGTGGCCTCCATTGATTCTCCCTCTTTGCCCAAGGTCTGTGACCCTGAAGCCTTCCTCATGATCTCTCTCGATGGTGTCAGTTTCCTTCCTCCACTCCATCTCTTCCTTAGGACCATGTTCCATCTACATCCCTGTCTGGTCTTCATTTTCTACACTGCCTCCACCCCACCTCCTCTGTCTGTCCATCTCCTGCTTCCAGCCCTCTCCTGAGACTTCTAGAATCACTTTTCCAACACATGCCCTGGACACCTTCCCCTGACTAATCTTACACCCTATTGGCTCCCCAGGGAACTCAGCTTTGCCCACTCCAGGCTCTCCTACAGAGCTCCAAAGTTTCCTGGTTTTGTGTACTGTGTATTCAAACGCAGATTTATATACCCAGAGATCTGGCTGCAGTTGTCATTGTTATTGAAGCGTCTTCTGTCTCAATGCTGTGTTAAAATTGTTCTCCATCACCTCTGATTGGTTAATAAAGAGCTGAGCAGCCTATAGAGGGGCAGGAGAATTAGGGTCAGACTTCTGATTCTAGGGAGAGGGTCCCAGGAAGAGGAGAGTCTCCGTGAGGGAGTCACCATAAGGGCACAGGAACAGCCAGGGTGGGACTAAGGTGGCAGGTAATGGGCCACATGCTTGGGAAGTAGGTCAGGCCATTATTATAGTCAGGTTACAATAGATGAGTCTCGGTCCAGCTATAGCACTTGAAGCTTATTAATAAATGCAATAGATCTCTGCATCATTTTTGGAAGTTAGAGAGGGCATTGAAAGCCCCTAATTTTACAACTCCCAGCACACACACTCAGGTCCCTCCCTCACACCCCTAGCTCCCTCCCTCCCAGGCTCCTCCCTGTGCAGCACAGATCCGTAGGCCCCTCTGCTGCATCTTTGTCTTTCACCACCCCTGTACCCAGCTCACCTCTCAAAGAGATTATTGCCCTCATCCGTGAGCCCCTCCACCCCACTATCTTAGCCCATCTCCCCTTGCTTCAACAAAATAGCTGACACTGAAAAACATATAAAGAATTAAAGTCTACTTAGCTCATGATCTTCAGGGCCTCGCACTGTGTTAAGACATGGTAACAAGTGAAAGAGGGAAGTTATTGCATCCCAGAAACAAATTGGGGGGGGGGGTGCATCATGCTGTATAATGACTTTCGGTCTACACACACACACACACACACACACACACACACACACACACGTTCATGCTCCTGTATACACATGAACACGCCCACACATGTGTACACACATGAACACATCCACACTGAGGCCAGCTGGGGTAGTCAGGGTGCTGGCCTAGGTAGCCAGGAGCGCTCAGGCTCAGCTTTTCCTGCCTCTGGTGCCTGGGTTGTCAACACACCTTTTGGTGTGTCTGTGAAATGTATCCAGGCAGGTGTCACTGAGGGGAGGTGTGTCTACATCGGAGTCTGAATAACAAAGAGGAACAAAGCAGGCCAACTTAACATCCCTCTGCTGACTGACTGACCGCAGAAGTGACCAAACACCTCTTGTCATTGTGCCCTTCAGCCCTGGTCCACTGCACCCCACGCTGAGAGCCTGAACAACCCCTTTCTTGCGTTTCTCTTGCCTGGTACAGCAAGGAGAAAAATAACTAATAAGCTGGGAGGCCTGGCTCGCCGCAGTCAAGGCCGGCTAAGCACAGACTGTTCCTCTTGGTAAATGACACAGGGTGCACTCCCTTCAGACTGGCATCTGGGGTCAGCAACTCTTTACCCTCCTCACCCACTGGCAGAGACTGGGCCTTGGCTGTCTCCGCCATTCCATTGTGTTCCAGTCAGGGAAGAGATCTGGCTCTTTTTTATTACTATTATTAAAAAAAAAAAAAAAAAAAAGATGTGGAGATGATCCACAGGATTTTGAGAGAGATGGGTCTTGTGTTTCAGGAGTGAGGAGAAGAGCGGGAGGCTTGTCCCAAGATCCCGTGGAACCCCTCAAGAATTTACTTCTTCACGGATCCTGAGATTTCCCCCACTTCATGAGGACCAATCTAAGCCTGGGACAGGGATTACTGAGTGAGTGGGTGGGGACAGGATGGAGGGCCAGCCGCCTCTCCTTCTCCTCCTCCTCCCCACCCCCTCCCCACAAGTTCCGGGGGCCACTTCTGCACAGCTGCCAGGACGGAGAGAGCTCCGTGTGCTCTGAATTGAAAAAGAAAAGAGTGAAGGAGAGAGAGAGAGAGAGAGAGAGAGAGAGAGAGCCAGCTTTAAACAAAGAGCTGCCCGGTCCCTCCCGCCCCGGGGCTGTGGGCGCGTCCCCGCCGGCCAGTCTGCCTGAGAGGGGCACCCGGCTGCAGCGGCCCGGAGGCGGGGTGCCTCGGGTGGAGAGGGCGGCTGTGGCCTGGACAGCCGCAGTTACCCTGCGCTGGGGCTCCTGACCCCTCTCTGCGTCCAGCCTGGCAGCTGTGCCCTGGTAAGTGCAGGTGGAGGCTGGAGATATCCGCGCCTGTGGGACTGGCATTAAACGCTAAGGGGGTGTCTTGGCATGGCGCCCCCAGCTCAGCTGCCTGTACCCAGGAGGACCCCAAAGGGTCTCGGTGGTCAGGAAAGTTGCTCTTGAGTGAAGATGGGGCAGGACGCCGCAGTGGGTGCGCGGGTGGGTGTCGCACTGTGCTCAGAGGAGCTGGGTTGGGGGGGTCGGTACAAACTCTAACTATCTGCCTTGCCTTTCTGCATTGGATGGCTGTTCACTTAGCGCCGGGCCTCTGAGAGCCTGGGCCATGCAGAGTGCCCTGTGCATGGCTATCCCTCCCCAAAATGTCCCCCTCTTTGTTAACCCCAAATGCCAGGGGCTGTGTCTTGTTAGCGAAGGCAAAGTGCCAAGACCTTGGCTGCTGGACCCCATGAAAAGCAGGGTCTGCTAGCTGCCGGCAGCTGCTGAGTCCTAGACACTGGGGGATTGTTCTAGGCTGTCTGTCTTCCCAGGCTGGGCTATCCACCCGGCCCTGGCCGGGTGTGTGTTCGCAGGCCTTGTCACCTGTGTGCGCGCGCGCGCGCGCGCTCTTTGCCGCCTGTGCTGAGGAGAACGAGGAAGGTTCCGGGATATACGGGTTTCGTGTGTGTTCTGCAGTGCTCACACTTGTGAAGCAGCTGGAAAGCAGGGGAAAGGAGGGCTGGTTGGCGTGTCGGGCTGGACGACAGAGCGCACAGTGGCACGTGTATATTGGGGCAGGAAGTTGGAAGGGGCATCGGAAGAGCCAACTTCTAGAAAATTTCTAAGTGCACTCCAGGGCATAGGGATCATGTCGGAGGGGTGGGGAGAGAATTCGGGTAGTATTGAGACAGATTAGACGGCCTGTGCTTAATTTATGAACTACTATGAAAACAGCCGGTGGAGTCTGGCACCAGGGTTTAGACCTGAACTTAGTGGGAAATTTAGCTGCCATGGCTGTGTCACAGCGCTGTGTCCCGGGAAGGTTATCAGAGCTCCAGAGCTTATTGTGCCCAGTGGGGCCAATAACCATGGTCCTACTTGTCTCCCAGGTGGCTGGAGGAACAAGATGGGGGATGCCCGGGAAGGGGCTTTAGGCAAGGGGATGGGGCTGGGAACAGGAGTGCCAGCTGGTGGCTTGGGAATGCTCTGGTGGTCTGTCCATGCTTGGTCGGTGGTGGTCGAGGGAGCCCTTACACTCAGCACAAGAGGGATGTCTGTCTGGAGCCTATGTCTGTACTCTTGGTTGGAAATGTGGACCCTCTGGACAGGCTCCCCACAGTTTTTGTGTAACTGTCTTCGGCAGCGCGGAAGGGAAACTGACGCTGATGGTCTCCAAATACCCAGAGCACCTTACCTCTGCAGAAAGCATGCTTCAAGGAGAGTGGGGTTTGATCGGCCATCTCGTGTTTAGCTGTAGGACCCCCTATCGTTTGCTCCCCAGAAAGTAGGAAGTGAAGAAATTTGTTCCCCAGGGTCACAGGTTTGGGATATTCCCTGCAGAATTCTTCCTTTTATGGCACAGGGACTTTAGGCCCAAGTCCGGTCCTGGGCCAAAGTAAGGAGGTGAGAGGGTTTCATCATTGATAAACAGACAGCACCCAACACCAAGACATAGCTAGGTGGCTTACGGCCCTTCGATGTCGCCTGTCACAGAGAATTCTTCACGTGTGGTAACTACTTAATTAATGTTTGTGGAAGGAAAGAGTCCTGGGTATGGAGGACTAGAGAACCCAGAGTTAAGTATTGTCTGGGCTCCTAGGAAAATCCACTTTCAATCTGTGGGTCTCCTTCCCATAGGTCAACCTCAAGGCACCTTCAAATAAGGAACTGTGTCAGCCAGTTCCTTGAGGCCTTTCTTGGTCTCCCCTTTGAAATAGCCAGCTTCCAGCTAGACCCCAGGCCCCAGCTCTTGTGTCCCATTAATAGCATTCGCCGAATTCTGAGCTTACCTTTGCTGTCTGCTGTCATATAAATGTGGGAAAAGCAGAGGCCACTCTTATCCTGTTCCCTGCTGCTTCCCTAGAGTGCAGTGAGTGTTCAAGAAATGTTCTGTGTGTTTGGGTAAATCCACTGGCCAGCAGGGGTGCCTGCATGTCCCCTATCCCTACCCTATACATTAGCACCAACAGTTCAGAGATTAAATTATGTTCTACGTCAGCCTCCAGGCACGTTCCCAACTCCAGGTTAAAACTTACTGTCTTAAACTAGCCATTAATAGCTACTTAGCTTTCAAAGTGGACCTCTCCACGGCCCCTCTCCCACAGAGCAGTTATTCCACAAACCAGGCGTGGTCGTGGAATCTACCCTAGGCTTGTTTTTACACACAACAAGCCTTGGATGTTAAGTCAAAACTCAACATGGAAATAATTCTGCACACAATACAATGCTGAGAAGCACATGGGAGAGGAAACACCGAACGCCAACGAGGTGAATAAGCTACTCACAGCTATTCAAGCACTACACTCCAAGGTGGCTGTGTCTGCCATTGTCCTCCCTGGGTGTGGTCCCTGGACCCAGATCACCCCTCTCCCAGAAGACATCCACCCACAGTCCTTTTCTTTGAGCAGTGAGCGGTGAAGGGAAACCCTTTTCGTGGAGCTACCTCCGAACTCAAAACCAGCCATGATGGAGGGAATCTGACCTGCGGGTACATTCAGCATGCTTCCTGGAGTCTTGGCTCTCACCTCTGGATAAAGTGTTCAACTATACTCTCTCTTTCTAAAAACAAAATGGCACATGACAGATTGACTGCTATGGCCAACCTGACCCCTGTCCCTCACACAGAATAAGCTTACCTTCAACGTGAGCATCCCCCAACCCCTTGGGAGAAGCACTCCTGCCCACTCCTGCAGGGGAGAAGGAGGTGGCATTGTTTCATTCTGGGTGGTTTGGGAGAGAGAAAGAGTTGAGCAAAGAGAACCAGGATGTTCAGTGAACTCCTTTGGGCTGCCAACTTTGCTGCTTGTACCTGGACCTATTCTGGTTGCTCCTTGTGGGCTCCAGGGTTCAGACAAAACACCACATATGTACGGATCAGATAAAACCAGGGAGGTGACTTGTTTAGTGTCTGCCGTGAGCCTTGAACTTCCAGCCCCCAAGGATTCAGTGTGCAACCATTTCCCCCTAAGCTCTAGTCAATGATACTAACCAGGATCACTCCCAGGATGAGATGAGAAAATAGTAGGGTGGGAACCACATGACACTCTCACACGCCCAGCCATAACTACTGGGGTGCAGAAAGGCAGGCCCATCCCTGGTGCTGTCCTTCCTCCTGTGTGACCTATGAGTCCCCTGACCTCATTTGGCAGAGTCTTTGGGTCCCCATGTGTCTCTTGGCCTCAGTGAAGTAGGTGGAAGATAGCTTTGTGGCCAGAATGGTATGCATGAGGCAGGGATCTACTGTACATTGTGGCTTATGTGGGAATGACATAATTCACATGGATTCCTGTGAATTATGCACAGACCGGCCTTTATCTCCTTTGAGACATCTCCCCTGGTCCCTCCCTGTGGTGGTTTGAATGATAATGACCCCATAGGTTTATATGTTTGAATGCTTGGTCCCCAGTTAGTGGAACTGTTTGGGGAGAATTAGGAGGTGTGGCAGTATGGCTTTGTTGAAGGAGGCATATCACTGGGGTTGGGCTTTGATATTTCAAAGGCCCATAACAGATCCAATCTCTCTCCTCTCTCTCTCTGACTCCCTGTCTCTCGTTCCCTCCTTCCCTCCCTCCTTCTCTCCTCTCTCTCTCTTTCTATCTGTCTCTCTCCCTCCATCCCCTCCCTCCTTCTGCCCGCTGCCTGAGGATCAGTATGTAACGCGCTCAGCTACCATTCGGCACCCTGCTTGCTTCTCTGCTTCCTGAATAATGGTTATGGACAGACCATCTGAATCTGTAAGCAAGCCTCCCAGTTAAATGTTTTCTTTTATAAGAGTTATCTTGGCCATAATGTCTCTGCACAGCAATAGACCAATAACTAAGACACTGCCCACTCCTCAAGAACACTGTTGGGGTACAACTGCCTTACAACAGCCTTACTCTACCTTTTCCACAGCCCTTCTTGAAGGCATATGATCTCCAGGAACTGGGAATATTATAGAGAGGTCTAGAAATGAGAGACAAACATCTCTGGGCAAGTCCCTTCTATGGTCTGAAGCAGTGAGCAGGCTCCGTTTTTACAAGGCTGTCCGATGGAACCTCAGCGGTTCTCAACCCTACCCCAACCTTGAGGTTCTTTCTTCCTTTTGTCAGTATGACTTCGTGTTTTAAAAGATCTTTGTTAGTCAATTTTTAACAGACACAAGATATTTGTTTCTCTGGTCTAAACAAACAAACAAAAACTTAAAGGACCTGGTACCTGGTGGTTTAATTTTACTATCTTTCTTCTCTTTTCTGTTATATTGTTTTCATTTTAAACAATCAGTTTAAGCCTTTCACTGAGAGATCAGGTTCAGGATGTTTAAAGAGAAGAAAAGCAAATAAAGGTGAGGCCAGGAATTGTCCAGTATATCTAAAGCCTGCAAAAATGGACAAAATTATGTCAGACTGTGAAGGCCATTTGGCAGTAAGGCTTTCTATTTCTCTGAGTGTTCTTGAAATATTGCAGTGAGGCTTCTTTCTTGGAGCTGCCTCTGATGGATGAGCACCCGCCTCCTGTAACAATGGGGGTTGTGCAGAATGTGTGCAAATGTGTCCCTTTCTCACATCCATGTCCCTCTGGATCATTGAGTTTCACTCATAAAACACAAGTTCAAAGGTAACATCGTTTAGCATCTCAGGCTGCCAACAGCAGAGCAGTGAGCCCAGCATGAGACCCTTCGGAGCCCGATGCTCTGTGAGCTACCCTGATTGCATTGCCTTGAAGCCGCCTGGCCTCATACTTTGGCTTTCTTTGGGGTCCCATTTTAACATGGTGTGCTGGTTAGTTGTCAACCAGAGTCATCTGAAAGGAGGAAACCTCAATTGAGAAAATGTCTCCAG